TATGCATGCATGTGACTTATAACTTTTAATTTCATCTCTAATGGCATGAATGATGCTCAAACATGAGGGCTCATGACAAATTCATACATGCATGTATAACTTAGCAACATTTCCTTCATTCTAAGCTTATTTTATGCATTTAAACTCATGATCTTGATGAAATCTCATCCTAAATGACTTAGATGCACAATCTAGAGGTTGCAATCTTACCTAAAGTCTTCAATTAGCTAGATACTTGCACAATTGGTTGGTCTCAATCTACGCTCGAGCCACAACTTCTGCGCTCGAGCGAATTAAAAATATACAAAGGGTTCGCTCGAGTGTCCAAGTGGTCGCTCGAGCAGGCTGTAATAGCTTGCAAAACTACTGGATACACGAAATGTCCTCTCAAGCGACAAATCCTCCACTCGAGCGACCTTCAAAAATCTGGGTTTTCCAAAACAGAGTTCTAAGCTTCCAAATGCAATTTCAATAGCAAATTCATGCATGGCTTGTTCATAAACTTGGAAAACTTATTCATAAACATGAATATATGATTTTCACAAACTCTTTTTACTCAAAACTCATGAATTTATCGAAATTAGTCCCAAAACTTTCATGTATGTAAAACATACAACTCTTATCTTCAAAATCCATGATGTTTGGCCAAATTGAGTTCTAACGCCCCATACATATAGAATATTCCTTCTCAAAGCATGAATTCAAGTGATAAAACATGGTGATTCTAGGGGTGTAATTTTGGCCCACGGCCCGTAGACCGCCCGAAGCCCACCCGCGGCTCAAGGTGGACCCGACCCGTTTAGGCCCAAGCCCAGTCCAAGACCTTGGGCCTGGGCCTGGGCCTGGGCCATCGTTTTGAAACTCGGGCCGCTTGGCCCGCCCATGGGCCTACTCAAGGCCCGCCCAAAGCCCAGCCCGAGGTCCGACCTGCCCAGCTCACTCGAGGCCCAGTGTTATTTTTAATGGAAAATAATAAAATTTAAAAAAATAAAAAAAAATTGTTTAGGCCCACCCAAGCCTGAGCCCAAGCTCGGCCCGAGACCCAGCCCACTAGCCCGCCCATAGCCTGAATATCCCTGGGCCTGGGCTTGGGCTTGGGCCTAGGCCTAGGTTTTTGGTCCGTGGACCGGCCTAGGCCGGCCCGATTTTTTGGCAGAAGCCCATAAGGCCTGACATGGGCTGGGCTAGGCAAAAATTACACCCTTAGGTGATTCTAACATACATGTACCAAATAACTACCATAATAATTTAAATGCTCAAAATCAAACTTAACATGTCAAAGCTCCATATTTCCATGCATGTATGCCTCAAATTCATTCAAATTCTTTCCTTCCACTTCCAACACATGCAATTGAGTCTCAAACCTTTATGAATTATGCATGCATGTGACTTATAACTTTTAATTTCATCTCTAATGGCATGAATGACGCTCAAACATGAGGGCTCATGACAAATTCATACATGCATGTATAACTTAGCAACATTTCCTTCATTCTAAGCTTATTTTATGCATTTAAACTCATGATCTTGATGAAATCTCATCCTAAATGACTTAGATGCACAATCTAGAGGTTGCAATCTTACCTAAAGTCTTCAATTAGCTAGATACTTGCACAATCTTTGATCAATTCAAGCTATATCATCAACTTCTTCTCAAGAACACTTGAGCTCACTCTCTCTCTAGAATGTTTAATCTCAGAATTTAGCACTCAACAGTGGGCAAAGATGAGCTCAAATGAGCTTAAGAGCTCATTTATATAGTTATGATGCCATAATACATTAAAATTAATCAGATTGAATCAATTTTTAATAAAATTTTTCATATGGTTCTAAAAATTCCGAATAACATATTCATGTAACCAATTCCGATTTCGAATGCCGGTAAGGCTTTCAATTTTCATATTAAAGCAGGATTCTAGACAGATATTTCTACAAGTAACAGATAGAAAGTCAAAGATCATGCAAAATACATAATAAACACATAATTTATTTTATCGACTTAATTAACATCCTTAATTACGGATTAGTACTTTATTACGGATCGGGGTTGTTACAAAAACAACCCCTCAAATTTTTATTTTTATTTATTTATGGGTGAATAACTCCCAAAAAACTTAATAAGTTGTAAACCCAACAATTGTTTAGAATGGTGGAATTAGCAATTGACAATGAAATTTGATGTGTTCGAAATAGATGGAATATAAGATTGATTTTATGAGATTTGAATGGAAGTTAAAATGAAAAAATGTTGGGTTTCATGAGAATTGGAAATAATTATATTTGGGAACAAATTATTTTAGTAATTTTTTGTCTTTTTGATTAAAATACGAAAAAATGTATAAAATGTAGAGAAAAAATAGAATTTTTAACTTCTTTGTATAATTTGTTAATTTTTTACTTTTTTAATAACTTTTCAATATTTAAAATAAAATCAAAAGTTGCCAAACAAGATTTTAATCTCATTACTCAAACAACTCTCCATTTCTTTCCCTACTAGGAGCTTCTATCCTGCACTCATTTTCACATCATTACTTAATTTACATACATAACTTTTAGTTTTTACTTTAGTTTACATCACTTAATTTTCATAGTACCCTTACTTTCAATCTTCAAACCGTAAGCACCTGCTGGTACCACCTTCATAGGCTTCGTCACTATCATAAGTGTGTTGGAGCATGCATGAAGGTAGAGTCTCACATCTGACAAAGAGTAAAAGAAATGAGTCTTAATATATATTAGATGGACTCTCCACTTATAAGCTTAAGCTTTTAAGTGGGTATAAGTTCCAAATAATGCATATTAGACATTGATATGGTGTTTGTAGACTTTGGAGTTTCTCTATGATGAATCAGGCTAGTGTTACTATGCGTTTGTAGGCTCCTTAATTCCCTAACAATTGGTATCAGACTATTGGTTCCTAGAGCAAGAACGATGACAGACAATCTTTGAGTGGACCCTCCTAAAGCATTGATATTGGTGGGCTTGGCCTTGCACAAAAACTCTTGACAGAGTAACAAAAATTCATGACAACTCTTGATAGAGCAAAAAAAATTCATAGTGTACGTGGCAAGGTTGGACCGTGACAAGGTAATTCTCAATGGAGTATGGTGACTCATGATAGAGTGTGTGTAAGTGGCCCAAGCTAGACTTAATGTTGGAGAGTTATTGATTAAGATTAAGGGGGAATGTGTAATGATCTACGATGAACTTGCTAATGATAGATCAAGACTCGAGAGGGAGCATAGAGAGGCTGAATGTTTGGTTCACACATGAGGGGGAGATTGTTGGAGCATGTGTAAAGAATGAGTTCCATATCGGATAAAGAGTAAAAAAGATGAGTGTTAATATACATTAGATTGACTCTTATATGCTTAAGCTTTTGAGTGGCCAAGAGTTCCAAATAATGTATGTTGGTATTGATATGGTATTTATGGATTCTAGAGTTTCTCTATGATGAATTAAGCAAGTGTTGTTGTGCGCTAGTGTGCTTTCTAAGTCCCTAACATAAGGGTGTGCGCGGTGTGATTCAGACGGTTTGAGAGTAAAATTATAAACCAAACCATAAAAGGCAGATTGACAAATAACCAAACCACAGTTTTGGCAATTTGGAGCGATTTCAATTTGCTAGTTGATTGAAGGTATTCTTAATAATTATTTAACATTTACATAATATATAACACTAACTTACATAATTTTTTCCATATATATAACACAAACTAATTTTACATAATATTTTTTATATATATAATTACTAATTTGTAACAAATTTCACATCTTAAATCTCTCTCACATTCATTTTTACTTTAATATTTCATCAGAAGTTCAAAAATATATATGTATTAATTATAGCGGAGCGGAGCAGAGAGATTTCGAAAGCGGATTATAAGTTTCAAAGTTTAATTCGCAGTTAGCGGATAAATCGGTGCAAATCGATGCGATTTTAATGAATTTTGAGGTATTTTGCACAGCCCTAACGATCGCAACCTAACCCCTTTCCTTCCCTAGTTCCTTCGCATTTGTTGGGGCGAGCATAACCCCCTTCTTTTCCTATCTCCTCCTCTACTCCTTTTTCCCTTCTATTTCATCATCTTCTTGTTGGCTCTTCTTTTCGCCACCCCTTTTATCCTCCCTCCTCCCTCTTCATCTCTTCTATCACCCCACCATCTTCTTGTTGTCTCTTCCCTTCACCACCTATTTATCTTTCCTCTCCATTGCACATTGCCTTACATCCTCATCCTTCAAATTTGAAAACCTAGCCCTCCTCTCTCCCACTTCCTCCCTCTCTTTCTTTTGCTTATTCTTATTCTTTCTAAATTTGGGAGTTTAATAGCGGTGTGGGTTAGAGAAGGGGTCATGATAGTGGTGACCAACAATGGTAGGGTTTATGGCTGACTTTACAATTTAGCAACTTAAACAGTTGCCTTAGACCTCATTCTTCTAAAGGCCCTACATTTTTTTTTTTTTTTTTTGCTATGTGCAATACTTCGATAGTGAAGGTGGTAAAGAAAGGCCCTATTGTTTTATACGAAAGGCCCAAGAAAGGGCCTTTAAAATAGAAAGCAATTATGCTTTAAATGAAACTCCAATTTTTTAGTTGCAGAACGAAAATCGATCACATATTATAATTTAATTTTGTTGATTTTCAATGTAGTGTAAATGAGAAATTTAGGAGTATTGTAAAATTCTATAGAATCCCATGTCAAGAATAAATGAAAGGAGATTGTGGGGATGCTCCATAAATGTTCTAATATTAACAATACCCATAACAATTGTTTTGCATAAAGAAAATTTTCAAATTTTGAAATTGACAAAATGTCATAAGAAAGATTAAAGTGGAGCACTCATTTCATCATTTTGAAAAGACACATAATAAAAAATCGACCCACAGAGATTGTTGGGCTTAGAGTTCGGCCCACCAATATTAAAGTGGAGTGGTCTTGGGTTGGGAGTGGTGTTGGGTTCTGATTGAAATTGTTTGGATTGTAAATGTAATGTGACTCCTTTCCTTTCAGTACGCCTCAAAAAGCTTACTCTGTAAGCCACTGCCGCTGGTTTTTGGCGCCTCTCTCTCCGAACAAACGCTTTCAAAAATTCCATCATAAAATTCTAGGAGTATCATTCTCTCTCTCTCTCTCTCTCTCTCTCTCTCTCTCTCTTTTTCTGAGATTTACGGATCGATCGGCCATGGAGCAAGTAAGAAACCAGAAGATGGGTCAAGAACACGACCAAGTAGATGATATGCAACAGCATGGTCCTTTCCCTGTTGAAAACCTTCAGGTAACACCACACCCTCTCTCAACCACCACCGCCCTCTACATTTCCCAATTTTTTTCCCAAATGGGTATCTCATTCATTTTGCTCTAATAAAACCAAACGAATAAAGGGTTTTTCTTTGTTTTTGTTTTTGGTTATTGTTTTCGTACTATATATGAGGTCCGCTTTATTTATACTATCCAATTATTTCAGATTCTTTGTCAAGATCCACAAATGGGTTTTCGCATTGGCTTTAATTCTTGCCTATTGTATGCTGTTTTACCCACAATTGTCACTTCTTTCCATTTCTAGGGCTAGGTTTTTAGCTAACCTCTCTACCCCTAAATTACCTTTTTTTATGCTCTATTGCAAATGAATTTTTTTCCAAGTCCAATACTCCTGTAATTCTCGTAATGTGAACCGTGTTTTGTTGACAAACCCTATTAATTTCAGCATTCAAGCTAGCCAGCCTATAGAACGACATTTTGGGGTTGGTTTCTGATGGGTTTGTTTTACTTTTAATCGTTAGAAAATAGGGTTGGTTGTTACATATGATCAAAGTTCTTACAACAACTCCATAGGCAAATGCAAGCCTCAGAATTGGTGGGAATTTTTACCCCTTCATGTCTCTTACTGCCAATGAGGTAGCTAGTGAAGCAAATGTCTCCCTTTCAATGAGAGAGAGAGAGAGAGAGAGAGAGAGAGATATTTATACCCTCAAACATGCCAGATCGAAAGGACAAAACCACCTCATTAAGCCGTCTTCTACCAATTGTTAAGTTATCAAGATTGGGTTGTGAGGGAGAGACATGAGATTATTTCGTTTTGCTCTTTAACTTAGACTATCGGTTTGTGAGAGATTCATCTTAGGAGGATTGTTGCTTTTGCAAGTGCTGCTCCCTTAGAGAGATGTATTGAGCTATATTGTGTATCTTTTTTTTTTAGTAATAAAACACTTGCTTATCCACAAAAAAGAAAAAAATGGTTACATTATTTTGCTCTGTACATTTTTACAACACCTGCATATACTTGGTTTGAATCTGATGCCTTACATGGACACAAGTACAAGTGTCAGGTGTGGGTGTGTATCCAAACGTCAAACCTTCATAAATTTAAATCTTAAGATCTTGGATATGGGTGCGGAGACACATCATATACATATTTATATTGCATATTATATAATATTCTCGGATGAAATATTGTAAATTATATAGAAATATACTTGATATTGAGTAGGATTTAGAAAAAATATGAAGTTCCTATGTCCAATTCATGTAAGAGGCTAAAAATATTGCTTTACTAGCATATGTGAATTTCTTTTTCTCATATATTGCAACAAATTAAAGGATCCAAGTGTCTAAATTGGGTACGAGTGTTGGACACATATCCCACACTCTTACCGATGTCATATCCGGTGGACACGGGTATTGTGGGGGAAATAAAAGAGTCCATGTAACACATTGACATTTCTTTATTCATCTGAAGGCATCTGGAATTGCTTCCCTTGATATAAAGAAGCTTAAAGATGCTGGTCTCTGCACAGTTGAATCTGTTGCATACTCTCCAAGGAAAGAACTTCTGCAAATCAAAGGAATCAGCGAAGCAAAAGTTGACAAGATCATTGAGGCAGGCATGTTTTCACAGTTTGTTGTTGTTTGTTTATGCTTTCCCTTCAATGCATTTTCTATGATTGGTGAAATGTTAAAACCATTAAATTTCCAGTTTTTATTGTTTGTAAACAGCTTCCAAATTGATTCCTTTGGGTTTCACTAGTGCTAGCCAACTCCATGCGCAAAGGCTTGAAATCATTCAGTTAACTTCTGGATCACGAGAACTTGACAAGGTCTTAGAGGGTAATTTTCATTGATAATGCAATTCTTTTACAATGCAAAATACATAAATAAATGTCTGCAATTGATACATAAATGTTGCAACCTGGAAGTAGTTGTCTGCAATTGATAACTTCTAGTCTTTTAAGCTCACATGGTTGTCTTTCACAGGAGGAATTGAGACTGGATCTATAACTGAAATTTATGGCGAGTTTCGATCTGGAAAGACTCAGCTTTGTCACACACTGTGCGTCACTTGCCAAGTAAGATGTAGCATGTTTCTATGTCATAGGTTCATTAGACTATTCATTGGCCTGGAAATTTTTTTAAATTTGTTAACCCAGTGGCTAGTTGCAATATCAATCTGTTTCATTATCACATTAACGTGTTCACTTCATACTTGTCTACATTTTAAAATATCAGCTTCCATTAGATCAAGGCGGTGGTGAAGGAAAAGCAATGTACATTGATGCTGAGGGCACATTCAGACCACAGAGACTCCTACAGATAGCAGACAGGTATTTGTAATGCTACCTTAAGATAAACATGCGTCATGTTAGTTGTCATTAATGGCGTAAATGCTGCAGGTTTGGATTGAATGGTGCTGATGTTTTGGAGAATGTGGCCTATGCTAGAGCATACAACACTGATCATCAATCAAGGCTTTTGCTTGAAGCTGCTTCAATGATGGTGGAAACCAGGTATTCTTTTATTTACTTTTTTTCCCCCAGTTGCTCAATATCATATCAGGCAGAGTCAATAACAAAAATGCCTCTAGTTTCCCTTTGATTAGCATCTGCTCTCTTTTCCTTCCTTTTTCGAGTTGCATTTGGGAGGCATTCATAGATGTTACTGCTAATAGTTAATACAAACAATAGAAAGAGATTTCTGATTATTGCCTTATAATATCTTTTGTAGTTTATGTGGGTTGACTTAACCTGAACTTATTGTGTAGTAAATTTTGATCGAATAGGTTTGCTCTTATGATAGTGGACAGTGCTACTGCTCTTTATAGAACGGATTTTTCTGGAAGGGGAGAGCTGTCAGCCAGGCAAATGCATCTTGCAAAGTTCTTGAGAAGTCTTCAGAAATTAGCAGATGAGGTTGGTTTCTCTTATTTATTGTTGACATGATTTTACGTGACGGGATGGTATTTGCTCATCATTTGAGCTTTAGGCTGTGAGAATCATGATTCTGGGATTTCTACATGGTGTGGAAAATATTACAGTCTCTTTCCATGATTTATTTACTCATTTATTTGTATGCCAACAGGCATTTGCACATGATTTAGATGCAATTCATGAAAGAAGGATATATATTTTTCATAATTTGCCTTTTTCTATCTTATTGTAGTTTGGTGTAGCTGTTGTTATCACAAATCAAGTTGTTGCCCAAGTGGATGGTTCTGCCATTTTTGCCGGGCCTCAAATCAAACCTATTGGTGGTAACATCATGGCTCATGCTTCTGCAACAAGGTATGCTTGTGCCACAAATGGTTTTCTTTCTTATCCCATTAATTTTTTGGAAGTTCACCAGTCATTGTCCATCTATGTGACAGGCTTGCTCTCAGAAAGGGAAGAGGCGAGGAACGCATTTGTAAAGTAATAAGTTCTCCATGTCTTGCTGAAGCTGAAGCACGCTTTCAGATTTCCGCAGAAGGTGTTACTGATGTCAAGGACTAATTAACAACACCACCCCAAAATTTCCTTTGAAGTTTTCTTGAGGCCTTCTTGTTCTTCAACATGTGATCTTATGTAAATCATTGATATGCAAGTAACAGTGAAATTTCTTTCTTGGCATATCTAATGTTTCAAGAGCAGTTGTGCATCAAATGCAGTGTTCTTTTGGTCTGAGGATGATAGATTTCTTTATTTTTCTGTTCCTTTTACCTTTTGGATATTGCTTTTGAAGTTCCCATTGATTGTAAGAATTTGAGCTTCTTTCTTCATTGAAATGGATGTAAAAATTTTGATTGAGTTTTGGCAAAGCATCTTTATCATAATTTGATCATTGTTTTTGTGGGGATTTATATTCACTTGTAGATTGATGTATACATTAATAATGTATTTGAAGGGATTCACTGAAAAATGCCTCTAAATCTTTGGCGCATTGACATGCAAGCTGTTCTAAGCAAATTGGCAGCTGGACTGTGACAGGGGACTCAAGTAATTACAAGTATAGATCAGAAAATGGCTGACTATACTTTAGCCCTTTATGATCTTATAATTTTGAGCTAACTTTACTTTATCCCTTATGATTTACTCATATTTAATTTATCTATGTTATTTGAAAATAAGCAAATAACTCTATGATTTATGAACTAAAATTTGAAACTTGTAAGGTAGTAAAGAGTTATGTACTTATTTTTAAACATTACAAGTGGTAAACCTGCACATAGAGTAAAGTACAATACGTTAAAGTGAAATTTGTCTTTCGAAAATATAATACTTATGTATAATGATATCTTATTATTATTATTATTATATTATTTATTTATTTTCAAATGACATAAAGATCATATACATATAGGTCCCGTTTGTTTTGGGAGATAGAATGGAGGGGATTGATAGTGAGGGGATTAGTAGTGAGGGGATTGATAGTGAAGGGATTAGTAGTAAGGAATTGTTAAATTATTTTTATATAAAATAATAAAACAAATAAAAAAATATAAAAAATTAAAAATTATATTTTAAAAAAAATTTCCCATATATAAAAAATAAAAAAAATTTCTAATCCGCTCACTATTTTTCTAATACCATCTCTACCTCCTTCTTACCAATCCCCTCTCCAAGGGTATTAGTAATACCAATGGACTAATAGTCCCAAGGCCTTCTCCCAAAACAAACAAGGCTATGACTAATACCTTGGTATTAACAATCTCAATACCCTCTCTTTCAACCACAACAAACGGGGCCATATGGGAGTGGAGGGACATGGGGGCAGGGGATCACATGTTCCCTTGACTTTTTTTTTTTTTTTTTTGGAGGATTGCTTGTGGCTTACACACAGTGCCCCTATACAGCAGCCCAATTTGACCCAAAAATACTAACATACGCACACACGCACCCAATTTCCAAACACACGAACGCACCCAAACACACGAACGCACCCAAAGAAAAATGCTTGGGATCACTAATTAGTGCTTCCACTAATTAGGTGGCAGTGGGTCCCGTCATTAATGATGTGATGTTTTGGTCTTGGAGTTGTATTTTTTTATTTTTTTTTTTTACTTTTTTAATGCATTAGTGCTATTAGTGATGATGTTTTAGTGGGATGAATCATTGTTGTAACTCTAATCCAATTTTTTTTTCTTTTTTCTTTTGATTCATTGGAAAACGGCAACAAAGTTAAATATAAAATTATTTATTTATTTACAGTATTTGTTAAGTGTCTTTATATTTTTTTTTGTTTTCTTTATCTCTCTTTATTACTTCGCAACTTACCAACTCGTGATTTACCAATTAGGATCACACAACACAGATTTGGGATTACACTATAATCTTTATATCTTCTCTTCATTGTTTAAAGGTAACTTTATTTATGATTTATGATTTATGATTTTTAAATAAAAATTATGAGTATTAATTTATAGTTATTTGTTAAGTTTTGATTTGTAAATTTTTTTATTTGTTATTATTTATGTTAAAATAAGAGATTTTGATATGTTAAAATTATGAATCTTAATTGCTCATGATTTATAATAAAATTAGGGATTTGATTTGTGCTACAATTAAAAATATTAATTTGTAGTATTTGTTATTTAAATTAGGGACTTTCATTTGTTATAATATAGGTATATTAGAAATTTTATTTGTTGTGATTTGTGCTAAATTTAAAATTTTAATTTGTATTAAAATTGGAGATTTTGATTTGTGGGGGTTTGTGATTTTGATTATGAATTTTTGTTTTTATTTTTATTTTTTAAAACACTCATGAAGAAATATTTCAAAAGAAAATCAAAGTTGGAATCATCTCTTCCTCAAAAAAAAGATTATAATTATTCTTCCGCAAAACAAAGTCGCATAAAAATCAACTTAGTAGACCTTCCTGCAGATCCATGACTACGGCCTCAGATTATGGACTATAATGCTAATGATCGAGACTAAATTCGTAGGGCATATCTACAAAAAGGTCCTTGTCAACCTCGTTATCATAATTTTCTACAAAAATCATTTGGACAAAAACTTCGGCGATTTAATCAGGCTTGGTTTAGTGAATTTCCTAATTGGTTGGAATATAGCGTAGCAAAAGATGCAGTATTTTATTTATGTTGTCATCTTTTCAAACTTGATATTGGAGATCAAGCTGGTGGTGATTCTTTTGTTGGTGAGGGTTTCTCAAATTCGAAGAAAAAATAAAAAATTCAGACTCATGTTGGAGGTCCCATTCCTAATTGGTTGGAATATAGCGTAGCAAAAGATGCAGTATTTTGTTTATGTTGTCATCTTTTCAAACCTGATATTGGAGATCAAGCTGGTGGTGATTCTTTTGTTGGTGAGGGTTTCTCAAATTCGAAGAAAAAATAAAAAATTCAGACTCATGTTGGAGGTCCCAATAGTGCTCATAATCAAGCTTCAAGTAAATGTCAAGACTTGTTAAACCAAAATCAACATATTCAAATGATTTTTTCCAAACAATATAATCAAGCTCGAATTGAGTATTGAACTCGTTTGAATGCATCGGTTGATTGTGTCAAATTTCATCTAAGACAAGGACTTGCATTTCGTAGGCATGATGAATTTGAAAATTCAAGTAACCAAGGAAATTTTCTTGAACTTTCAATTTTCTTGTTAATCATAATGAAAATGCCAAAGTTGTTGCATTGAGCAATGCTCCACAAAATCTCAAGTTGATATCTTCTAATATTCAAAAAGATATTGTAAATGTGGCCACATTTGAAACTATCAGTGTGATTATTAGAGATCTTGGTGATGCATTTTTTTCTATTTTGATTAATGAAGCCCGTGACATATCAATCGAGGAGCAAATGGCAGTTGTAATACAATATGTTGACAAAAAAAGCCAAGTGATTAAGCGTTTTTTGGATATTGAGCATGTTACTAATACGAATGTTCTCTCTATAGCGATTCTAGTTTTAACCTGACCCTTTTGTACCTTGGACTCGTGTTTCGTGGTTTCGTATTATTGTTTATGTCTTATTTCCCTCATACTTCTGCGAGTTTGGCTATTGGATTGTAATAGCTGCGTTTGGAACAGATTGGTTGCTTAGTTTTCAAACTTTTGTTGCCTAGAATTTTACTCTTCCGCTCGAGCGGCATTTCTTATGCTCGAGCGGGCATTGTGAACTCTCGGTACTTTTGCAGGTCTGCAAAACTACTAGGAGGGTGTATTCTACACTCGAGCGGTGCTTTCTGCCCTTGAGCGGTCTCAGCTCGAGCTATCCTTCTTGCGTTCGAGCGTTAGTCTATTGTCTGCAAAACTATTGGAAGTGTGCATTCTGCGCTTAAGTGTCACTTCTTGCGCTCGAGCGGAACAACTTATTGTGTCTGACGCTCGAACGTCACTTCTTGCGCTCGAACGGAACAACTTATTGTGTCTGACGCTCGAACGTCACTTCTTGCGCTCGAACGGACTATGTGTATATCAGTTCACAGCAGTACTCTTCTACATCACTTTTTCATATATTTTTCTCTCAAAACCCTAGATCTAGAGCCTCTCTCTCTCAAACTCACTTTCTTGCTACATTTTTACCTAGATTCGTTGGTTTCTCTACTCTAGTGTCTTTAGAAAAGAGGTAGAGTGTTTCAAGAGCTTCACTTTGGTCCGAACAAAACTTGGTTTCAACGTCTTTAAGGTTTCTTCCTTGCTTTGCTCATCTTCTAAACTTGAGGTGGGGACTTTTTACACTATTCTATGAGTTTTAACTTAGTTATTTGTTGATGTGCAAAGAATATTGGAATTTGGAATAATTTTGAACAAACCTAGGATTTTTGTTTAAAATCAAAAAAGGGGTTTTCAAACGTATGTATTAAAAATGGTTATGGGAATAGATGTGAGGTTGTGTTGTGAGAAATTTGTTGATTTTGATACCCAAGATGGATTTTGGAAGAAAATAGAGTTTTGCCCCAAAATGTTTCAAATAGTTATTTTGTATAAATAAATGAAATTGGTGTTGGAAATATGAAATTGGATGGATGTTTATATAAATGGTGGAGTTGGATATGTATTACCTCTCACTTATGAAAATTTAGATAATTTATCTGTCTTGGAGATTGTATATTTGTTTATAAATATCTATTTTAGCTGTTGGTTGAGGATAACTATGATTATTGTAGAAATTGCATGAGGATTAGATAAATTGAAACAAATCTCTTATTCATTATCATTGAATATGACTATGTCTTTATTACATTGCAAATGTATGATGTTTGGGAGAAAAAAGAGGATGGACTTCATTGAATTAAGTTGGCCTGTGTGTCCAAGACAAAAGTCTCGAAAATCGCATGGATACATGAGTCCCAATTCTGGCAGACGAAATATCTATAAAATAGCAAATTAAAGTGTTTGTATAATGGATGTGTTGGTTAAGGACCTACTGAGTTGCATCCTCAGCTTGGTTGTCTGAATGAAATTGAAAAGATTCATGAATTGAGATAAAACGAATTGAAATATAAAGTTTGGCATAATGTGGTTTTGTAAAAGAGTTGTAAATGATTGATTATGGGCATTGTGTGCATGTCATACTTATATCTTTGTTAAGATTCATACATTGTGTTAGATTGTTTCTATTGGGACTTGGCTCACCCTATTTGGGAAAAATCATTTTCAGGTATCGGTGATATGCCTCCGCCAAGACAGTAGCTTGGAGGGACTTGGAGCAAAGGCTTCTCTTTTGTGTATTATGTTATTGTTTTGATTCATGCCAAGGGCTTTACATGTATTGGATTTATATCTGCTTTTGTTGTAACTAAGCATGGCCTTGGAAAGATGTAAGCCTATAAGACATTTATTTAGTTAAACTCTTTT